GGCCAGCTTCTTTTTGGCACAGACTCTTTGAAGTTTCAATAGGCATCAACATGTACAGTACTGACACCCTTGGTTAGAAAAGCCAACACGAGCACTGCAGAACTGAGAGGAGGACCCACTCTGGTCTCCTACAGCTGTAAACCTACAGCTAAGCTACAAACCTACAGCACTAGGACATGGTTCAAGGTGGGAAAGGAGGACCATCCACTGCTCAGGTGGCTGGCCAGCCCAGGCCCAGGAACTAAGACCTGAATTCTAGGAAGAAGTCAAAAGAAAAAGTAATTTCAAACCAGAAGAGCTGGCTCACTATGTTCTCTGTAAAGCATTGTGAGCATATATCAACATGCTCTGTAACTGATGCACTGTGTGTGGACTAAGGGAATGAGCTAGTGTTGGAGGGGATGAATGGACTCCAAAGACAGAAGATCCTATGTACAAAGTGGAGAAGTGGGAAGTCTTCATCTGATGCCTTCAGCAGCAGCAGAGGCAGAAAACAACTGAAAGCAAGAAATGGGAAAGATGGTGGAGTTGGAGTTGGAAAGTTGGTGGTGGAGAAGACTGGAGGGGCATAGAGGGAAGACACCTTAGCTGCTCTCAGACTGAGCTACAGTGAGTTAAAGGGCTTCCACAGTAGTAGAAGCAGCAAGAGTGTGCTTCCTCTCGTGACGTTCTTTTGGGGACCCGCCTCATTTGGAGAGCCTGGGAAATAATCAAGCTGCCTGAACGTGCACCTGCCCTGCTACTGAGATGGAAGACCTGGGATCTCTTTGGGAGTTTCTCAATAGAGGATGCAGAGACCAAGTGGACGGCTGAACAGAGCATCTTATGAGATCGGCTGTAAAGTCTTTTGCTCTGATGCTGGTGGAAAGCTGGCAGAAGCTCATGGAGGAGTCTGGGGAGAGGAAAGGCAGGGGCATGTACAACAGAAAACTCAGTCACACAGAAACATAAAACTGGAAAAATAATCCCAAACCCACTTACTCCAGACCCTTCCCTCTTCATCACACACAGACCTCTTTCTGTTTTATGGGCCCAAATCTCATGACATAGCAAATTCTTCTTTCTTTTATTCTTACTTCCACCCACCATGCTCCACAGACTCCTCTCAAATACACACTCCACACAGTCAGATCACTGAGCTGTTCACTGGTTCACAGTTAATAAGAGACTCTAACCTGATAAAATGTTTCAGAACTTGAAAGAATGGAAGTTGTAATGGTTGAGACTCCAAACAGGTTGCGCAAAGAACAAAGCAGATAACGGATATAAAACCTTCCAGAACATCTAATGCAAGACCAAAGGAATTAACATTAGTTTTGAACCTCCGTGTCCTTGTGCCCTAGGGGTTACACGTGAGCTTTAAACTCTTGTTCTACACATTGGTTTCACGCACTTTTAGAATGTAATAGACCTGACTCCAATCAGGCTGTGCTCTCATTTTCTAGGTAGCTTTGAGCTTCATTTTCCTACCTGTAAAATGGAGATGATGAACCTCAGAGAGCTGGGAGACATGCCTGGGAAAATTTTCATGTTTATTATTCTCCTTAGTATTAACATTGTTCTCATGCCCTTCACTCCTGCACTCACCCCTCCCACTTTCTAATTTACATTGTTCTCTAATAGAGTGGAGTAAATGGAATCTCCCTAGTAGGACTTACCTCAGAATATGTATTTGTCAGTGTTTCTTTAGCTGTAGGTGACAGCAACCCAAGTGAAACTAGCTTAGGCAAAGTAGGGAATTGCCAGTTTATATAACAGTATTTTAGAGGTGGTGTGGCTTCAGGCGTGACTGGATCGAGGGATTCTCATGATAGTAAGACTTAACTTCTCTTTCTCAATATGTTAGCTCTGTTTTTCTCTGCATTGACTCTTTTTAGTCAGAGTCTCTCTATATAGTGGTTCTCCTGGAAGCTCTTTAAGCTAGTAATTGCTACCTAGAAACAAAGGTTTCTTTTTCCAAGTAGTTATTAAAATCCCCAAAGCAATGAGTGTGGACAGGGTGATAGGATGCTCTACTTAGCCAAGCCTGAGTCATGTACCTGTTCCTGAAGACAAATGAACTAAATTAATGAGGAGGGTTTGCTTTCTAAGGGAAATAAGGATTCTGATTCACAGATGAAGGAGGAGAAATGCTAATGGACACAAACAACGGAAGGCTAGACCTCTTTAAAAGAAGGAAAAAAGTTTAAAACTACAGGGAGTCCCAGATTCCCAGGCAGAGATGAAGGAATGTGCCCCACTCCCTCCAATACGGTCATGACATATGAAATTGGAGGAACCAGAATCAAAGTCCCCCCCAAAAAGAGTTCATGTCCACCAGTAAGAATTATTTTTTTTATTCCTGGGAAACTAAGGCCTTAAATTTAGACTTCTAAAAGAAAAAAATGTATGAGTCAAATCCATACCAAAATAAAGCAAGAGGGAACAAAAGATATCATTAGATACCTGATGCATCAGGTGTCAGACAACACTGTTCCTGTTCAGGGACCTATTAAAAATGTTTAAGGTCTAAAAATATGTATTTATTGGCTCCACGCTATGAAAAAAGCCCATAAAATCGAAACTAATAGTACTTAATTGAATGTGAGAATGTCTGCCAAGCTGAATATCAGATAACCTTCATGGGTGGCTACATTTAATATTTGTAAAACCCCATTCTATTGGAAAACAACTTGAACGGGAGAGATTGCTTGCTTTGTAAGAATTCCTAAATTCACACAATGGTTGTCAAGAAATCTCAGCCTCCCTGTATGTGAAATGAGGTCCTCATAGTCAAGTCACTTCAAAGGCAAAATGATCTTTAAAAAACCCTTTTCAAGCATCGTAGTGAAAGGGAGAGGTGGGTGGATTTGAATCCATATGATGATGTGATGGGGGTGCCTTGGGAAGTGAGGTACCTGGATGTCTGAACAGCCCTGCCTGCCCGTGGGACACTGCGGAGCCCAGCCAGGGAGGCCACAGCCATCTGCTCCATCCCCCAGTCCCGGCTCTGCACCTTCCTGGCAGAGCCCACACCTCTCTTTTAAGTCTCTATCATAGCAACAGCCCCAGGGCCAGACCCCTAATTACCAGCTTCTTCTAAGTGCCAGGAAAAAAGCCTCTCCAGCCCTCCCCCCCTCCCCAGCACAAGCCCAAGGGTTCAGGCAGGTTCAAAAGGTGAAATAAATGAATCTTTACACATTATAAGGACCCCAGCAACATTCTCTGTGGCATTAGTGGCTGAAACAGCAGCAAGTAAAAGCAGGTGTGCTGGGCGCCCTGTCAGCTAACGACACTGATAAGCCTGCCATGCCCGGTTCTGCTTCATTTCAAACAGACTGCTGGAAAAAAGGAGGGGAAAGCCGGAGCAGAAATAATTGCTGGAGCTTCCAGTGAGCAGAGAGAGCCTGCAGGCAGAGATCAACGGGCCTGATTTCATCCTCTGCCTTTTATTTCTATAACCTTAAACGTTCTGCTATTATAAAAGTCATCATGTCAGCTTTCTCCCCAGCCTCTCCAGCTGCCCATTTTCAAATTGTATCAATTGGTAAGGCTTTTGGGCTGCAGGATTTTCATCTTGATTTATGGTTTCTGGGCTTTAAAGATGAAGCAGACTCCACTGACCTGATTCAGAGCATGGAGGCAATGCTGTCCTGGGCTCATGCTTATAATCAGGTCCTCCCAGAACCACCACAAAACCAGCCAAGGCTGTGTGTGTGTGTGTGTGTGTGTGTGTGTATGGTGTGTGTGTGTGTTTGTGTTTTTAAAAATAATAGATATTAAGGCAAATTGCTAGTGAATATCATTTGTCACCCTTCTGCTAAAGTGGATGAAAGAGTCTGATTCTTGCAGTCCTTTGGGATCAAGGCAGCAGGCTTCAAGTTCTTGAAGATATTGATGGTCAGGCTTCTAGAGGGAAACTTAGGAACTAGAGGTACACAGGCAGAGCAGGGAGCCCTCATGGGGCTCAACTGAACCACCAGAATGGAAAGGGCTGAGAAACAAGGCCTGTGCTGACCTTTAAAACTGGTGGACTACATAAATAGCAAAAAGTAAGCACCTAAAGATACAGGTGTAAACTGCCGATTTCAGCAAGGACAGCGTCTTGCAGGGAGAGCTTGGGAATTTCTTTCTAAGGATGTATGTCGGGAACCCCGGAGAGTGTGTTATTAAAACGTTCAGGCAAATTGCAAGAGGGATGTGGAACAAATACCAACTTCCTCAATCCTCTTCATGTGTTTGTTGTTCACTGGAGACTCTGGAATAAATGACCTTTGTCCTGCAAGTAGGTATGCCTCTATTCCCCCATCACCTACCACCCCATGGGGCAAAAGAATGTCACCAGAAAGGAAACAGAAGTGGGAGAATTTAGACTCAAAAGAGATGAGGCTCCACCACGCTCTCTTGGGAAAAGGTTTGGTTGTGGGGTGAACCTCGTGGGTGAGGTGGAGACACAAAGAACAAGCCTTCCTGGGAGTCATGAGTCAGTCAGGCTGTGTGGCCCAGATGCAGCCAGAGCACATAGAAATCAATCAGACACCTGCAGCATGAATTTATCAGTGGGACTCTCAGGATGGAGGTGGCAGAGACATATGAGCCCCCATCTACAAATCTCCCCAGGAAGGATGACAGAGGTCCCATGGTTCCTTCTCTGATTTCTTCCAATTAATCTAAATGTGAAGACCACGGGCCTATTGAGTTATAGCATCACTTTTCAGGCCCAGAAAATCACACTTTCCTGAGACTTAAGCATCTTTCCAATGCTTAACAAGAGCAACGGTTGTTGATCCACAGGTAAAGCTGTGGTAAGAGATAAGCACCCGCTGGTGTGTGTGAGTGTGTGTGTTTGTGTGTGTGTGTCTGTGTGTGTGTGTGTGTGTGTGTGAGAGAGAGAGAGAGAGAGAGAGAGGAGAGAGAGAAGAGAGACAGAGAATGCTAATTGTGCCAGGGACGTTGACAGATGTGACAGAAAGTGTCTTCATTGAGAAACTGCCATCTGAAGTTCCCCCTTGTTCCTACAGAAACAGGAGGAGAGGGGCATGAGGGAGCCTGACAGGAAGTGAGGATTCGAGACTTCAAATACAAACATTATGAAAAACAAGCAACATCTGCAAACAGTAAGTACTTATTTATATTTTATGGAGTGTGTGCTTGGGATTCTGACAGGTTTTTAAACAGAGACCATATTAGGCCCATTCAAAGGCGAGAATGTCCCTTTTAAAAATGCATTACCCCGCTGCTCAGGCAGGTCCGGCTGCCCCGCTGGCCTCAGGTGAGCCCTGACCCCTGCCGACCTGGTCTAACAAAACACACATGCGGTTTGCAATGGGACCGTTTAGTGTTCCTCGCTCAAGGTCAGCGCAGGCGGGCGCTGGAGGGTTAGTATTCAGCGAGCTTTTCCCTCAGCTGACAGAAGTGCTTTGAACTTTTCCCTTCTGAACAAATAGGAAGAGAAACTGCAAGAAAACAAGTGCTGGGAATCATAGAAAAGAGCACGCAGCAAATAAATAAGCCGCGAATAAATAAATAAGTGGCCAGTCTTGTCCCCTGCAAATAAAAGATACCCTTCCAAGGCTTCTGGGGCTCCTATGCATTTGGTGCATAGGAGAAACTTTAAAATAAAAACAATAGAATAAGCCTGCTATCTTTTCCCCCCTCCGAAGGATGAACCCTTTATTTTTGACAACAAATAAAAGGCAGTTGGCAGATACTGTGTGCTATGCACCATGAAATATTTAGTAAGGCAATAACGACTCCCCGGACAGCTTAAGAAAACCACGATTATATTCAGAGAGAAAGCCATGAGCAAACAGAGGGGGGAAATACAAAGAAAGATAAAGGAAGGCCTTTCATCAGGACTTCCTGTCCAATAATGCAGCCAGGCTTGATCCATATGTTTTGAGAAAAATCAAAGTGTCACAACTATCCAAAATGTCAATAGCTCCGGTAAGGAATATTGTCTAACATTTTCTATTACACCGTTCAAGAATTTGCCTCCCAGTGCAATTTGGAAGAAAAAACTCTTTCATTTTGAAAACACTCAAAGAAAAGAAAGGAGTAGGGGGAGGTGGAGAAAACTGAACAAGGCGCATTTCAGGGCAATGTGTAATACAATCGGGCTCTGGGCTCCCGAACCATCTCAAAAGCCGATCGGCTGATGAAAGTGTGCTTCCCTGCACACCTCTCTGATGGTCTGCCCTTTCTCGGCAGACACTCTCGCGCAGGCACTTCCTGGACAGTGGGATGTAACCAAGCAAGCTCTGTGCAGTGGGAAATTGGAGAAGTCCAACTTTCAGCAGCCTTCATATTTGGGTAATCCTGTCTAATGATTTCAGGGTTGAATCATGGGAAACTCCATTGGCTTCTTTATATATATGGACCAGATCGCTGAGTGACCTGCTTTGGGGAGAGGGGGAATAAAAAGAGGAAAAAAAATACCCTGTATGTAAACAAACAATTTATTGCTGCCTTCACAAAATGTAAACAAAACCCATGCACCTTGCCCCCGGGATTGGCCTGGCAATATCTAGTTCGACAGAACTCGGCTAGGTGCCTTCTCTGCTTGTCTCCTCCACATCCTGGAAATTCTAGAGGGACAAATCATGCCTGAGTTGCTGCTATCTATGCCTTGTGGAATCTTAAATAGAATGAAACAGGGCCCAGACAATCAATATTACTGACAAATTAATCTCTGTGAATAAACTGCTGTTCGCTTCCTGGGTGTCCCTGTCCCTAGAATAATTTTGTATGTGGAGTTGAGGGCTTTTTACCACTTTGTTGGTATTTTCTGTGATCATCTACCTGTGGGTGGCACCCGATTGCCTGTAGGGACTCAGTTTTGGAAAATCAAATGATACAGTGTCCCAGGCCTCGCCCTGTTAATTTCCTCCCTGCTAGGGCTTCATCTGAGTGCTAGAATAAGCACACGCTTTATACCGAGAAGATGCCCTTCCCCATCTTGCGGGAGGGAGAAGGCAAGAGTGGAGCAGGTGGCGGTTGTCTCCATTTCTGCCCAAACTCAGTTTACCAGAAATAGTTTGGAAGCCAGGATAATCAAGTGTTAATTAAGGTTTCAAAAATCTCATTTATCTTTTCTTAAGGAATAGGAAGGGCACACAATACGTCTACAACTTTCTCTAGATTCTTAAATTTGCACAGAAGGGGGCTCAGAAAGGAGGCTCCTCTCCAAACCTAAAATCTACCCAGTCTGCATCGATGTTAAATATTGGACTGCTTTGGTACCAGTTGGTAAAGAACCCCCACCCCACCACCAAGCCTTCTGCTGCCCACTGCCCCAGCCCTTTCCCAATACTTCCTCCCCATCGTTTGACTCAGCACCTAAAGGGTTAACATGTGATGCAACCCAGGGGCCTCCCTGACACCTGCTTGGGATTGAGGTTCTGTTCCACTGTCCTGGGATCTGTGACACTCAGAAACCTCTGAGCAAACAGGCAAGACTCTTCCTCAAGTCCCAAACAGTAAACACCAGCAAGAATCAACGGTCACCAGGGTATAATTGTCATTAGTATGTAAATTTTAAAAGCTCAGTCAAAAATATCAATACCTCCCACTTAATTTATTACTATATAAAGATGAATGGTAGTGAAGCATTGCATTGATTTTTCAGAGCCCTTTAAAGAATGGTGAGGAAGAAAATAGTCAAAGACAACACAAAATGCTGCGTCTCAAAATTAATCACTGTACTGTTTTTAAACACACACACACTTACAAAAGCACTGTACAGCAGCCCATACGGTTCAATCTTATTTGATTGCCTTTTCTGAAAATGAAGAAATGGAAGAGGCCATTTATGTAAAGAGCCCTCTTAGAATGGATTAGATGTAAAGATGGGTTAGCATTTTTACTGTATCGACAGCAAACCATTAGGCAGCCACACTCCAGCCCAGCCACTGAGAGGAAATCGAAGAGCGTAGTTCCCCAGCAGGCCTGGACAGGACAACTTATCAGTCCCTGGTCCTTGGGCAACCTGGCTGTCACTGATGAGCAAACTCCAGGCCCGGCTCCTCTTTCTATTTGGTGTAATGACATCATGCCATCACCCACGTATTTGCTAAAAATGTTAGTAGGAATAGTCATGACCACTAAACAAATAAGTAAATTTATCATCAGATTTAAACCTGTTCTGGAAAGCCTGTAACGTGGGAATTGTGTTTGTGTTTAAAGTGATATGGAAATCAGTGCCTAATCATCCCTCCATTAAAGGATGGGTCACTTCCTTCCACTTGACATTTTAAGATTTTTGCATTTATAGAGAGGGAGAAGGGGACTTGGAGAGAAAAGATTGCAAGGGAGCAAAGCAGAAAAGAAAACAATAAAGTCGCAGAGATGTATTCATTTTGCTAGTCTATACTATCACGCCACTTGTTTGGTTTGCTTCCTGTCATTTTGCAAGCACCTGGGCCCTGTATCTTTTGAACAGTCTCCTGGTTAAAGCAGATAAACCTTGAGGTAGCCCAGAGAGAGGCTACCTCTGTCACCATCTCCTGAAGAGCTACGATTTCCAAAAGAATAGGAATGCTTACGTTTTATAATATTAGAATAAGGATATAATTTGTCTCCTATTTCCAGAATTCCAGAGGTTTACGTCCTGCCCTCCACAACAAACCCTGAGGAGGATGGATAATTGTTCTGGGCTTTATTATGGCATCTAGGGAAGCTTATTTTTTAATAGAGATGTTCCACCAAGAATCAGGCTATATACAATGAGCAGTACTGCACATTCACTGGACTAGACATAAGCAGCCTGGAGAGGAGCATTTTTGTCAAAGGAACCTCAGTCTCCAATAAGGGCTGTTGATCAGGGACCCTTCAATCAGACTGATAATTCTAATTTATCAGAATGCTTCTACTGTATGGAGCAGCAGCTTCGTGCTCCTCCTGGCTTTTCTTATGAAGTGGAGCAGCAGTTCAAAAACCAACATCAAGTTCCTAGATGTCTTCCTGCTATAATTGGATTTAATTCATTATCTTTCATTTCAATAAAATCACAGGAAAACACAGGGATGTAAATGTGTAGGCTAATTGCTTATGGAAATTCAGGTGCCACACTTGGTATAAACTTACCCCTTGCAAAAGCAAGACACAGTTGTGTCATTATCATAGAATTTTACAACAATATGTAATTATGGAGAGAAGCAGGTGTAATTATCAAGTCTTTCCACAAAGCAGGTAGCATTCTTGGTTAAATATTTACAGCTACACCAACAGCTGGCAATAATGAGAGTTTTCTCAGCCGCCCATTACAGAACACCCAACAAATATTATGAAAAATGGTCATTATGAACCCGGGAAGCGTTGCTTTGCCTTCTTGCCGGCAAGGGATGCTTCTGTGGAGCTTGCAAGACGGGAATTCAGGCTGAATCAGCAGCGCAGTTTCAATGGTGCTGAAAACAAGAAACGAAGATCTCCTTTTCCCTTGCTGCTGTAGAGAGGAGCAATTAAAGCTGCATATTTAGAGATGACATCAGCCAGGAGTCCTGCACAGAGAGAAAAATCCATTGCATTTTCCCCCCTTCTTTCTTTTTCTCGTTCCTTTTTCTGTCCAAAGGAAACCCACGGCAAACTGCAAAGATGCCGAAAGCTGCAGGCAAAGGAAGCAAACTCCAAACTGCCCACCAAGGGTCAGCCAGACCTGCAGCTGTTGCACAAAATAAAATCAACGCAGCCCACCCTGGGCAAACACCCTGTGTGGCTCTTTTATTACCAAGTGATATGAACTTTGACCCAACCTGAACAAAATTTAATATTTTCTCCCAAATATTTAAAAAATTCATTCTGGGGCTCTCAAGGAGTCAGAGAGTCTGCGAGCCGTAATTTGACATCTGAATTATTCTGAGGCTAATACGGAAAGCTATTCAGAAGCTTATTTGGAGATGTGTCAATCAAGATATCACTTGTGCAGGGAAGATGGACTCGGGCTTAGGAGTGCAGATAGCTTTCAGGGAACCTCAAAATAAAAGGCAGCAACCTCTGATGAATACGTTACGTCTTCATTCTCGACAATGACATTTTTCTTTTCTTGCTACAGCATACAGACCTAAGAGAGCTGTGTCCCAGGCATGTGCCTTTTTCCACACCTGTAAAAACACTTTAACATTTATTAAAAATGATAACCATAAACAACAAACATGGTGTCAAAACTCGCCTCTGTTAATTTCAACGGACTGATTAAGATTTTAAGCAACGCTTCTAAATTAGACTGTCAGGCTGCCATCCTCCAGGCAGGGTTGGGGTTCTGATCCAGGGCAGGCTTGTTTGAGCAAGTAGGCTTTCTGGGTTGATTGTGAACCAGGCTGGCGATACTCAACGTTCTTTCATTCATTTCCGATGAGTTGGGGGTGATTCAATTAGCCCTGATTGTCGGAGAGATGTGGCCCGAAATAAACCGTCTGGGCTCTGAGCGCCTCCTCGCGAGGTATTTCCCAGCTGACAAGTAACAATGTTAATTACCTATTGTTATGATCTGAAGAGACACCAGCATTTTAATTATGTAAATTCAGAGCCATTTTGTTCTGATGAGCAAAGAATAAGCAGACAGCCTATTCCTTCCAGGGTGCGTTCATCCCGATTGCAATCTCCTCAAAGAGTCAGTGCCATCATCCATCCTTGCACATCTTCGGGTAACTTCTTTCTCAAGTGACAAAGAATAGGACATTGTCTTTGACATTCTGTTTCTCCTGGCATCATTCACGGGAGGCTGTGACAGCTCTTTGCTTGGCCACGTCTGCTAAGGCAGAGGGTGTCTAGCATGGGTGGCTTTGCATTGAACAAACAAATGCCTCCCAACTGTGAGGACCACGCCACTGCCAAGCATTCCTGACACCCACCATCTTCAACAGAGCCCCCAGATAGGTTGGAAATATTTTCTGCTACCAAGGGTCTGCTTAGAAAAATCTTATAAACTGGAAAAATAAAATCAAAATTCTCTTCAAAACTGTAGAGAATTCAGGAATCTGCCCATTTCCCAGGAGAGTCCTTTACTACAGAATGATGGTCTCCATGCTTGATCACCTTTACCTGCTCAGGATCCCCTACATCATTAGGAATTTGTCAAATGCTCGAGGGGTTCCTGGTGCCCAAGGAGAGTGTTCAGGTGTTGGATCTGGTCTGAAACCAAGCTCCTTCTTTCTCCAGGAGTTCTAAGGTAGTGTGACCCAGAGTCTTGAAAAACTGATGGGGAGGGTAGATTACAGAACTCAACTAGATGATGATGCATAATCATACTATATTGAAATGGAAAGTGATATATTATGGATTAGAACTTAAATGTATTAAATGTTTCAGAGGAACCAGGAGACTTCAAAGAAAATAAACTTTTGGAGTATCTTGCCAAATCCTCATCACACCCAGACCCCTGGAGGCTGGGTAAAGTATGGCTCAAGTTTATTCTCCAGTGCTGAGTAATAGTAAGTAAGTGCACAAAGATCCAGTATCCCATGGATCTCAAAGGGTTTTCAGTCAGTTACGCTTTTCTAACTTCCTAGTCGGATAAGTGACTTGCCAACTCCCATCACCCATGGCTGGGGCTTGCCAATCAGGTCAGCATTAATGCACAGGACCTTAATGAGGTGAGAGAAAAAGCCAGGGTGGAGAAAGTAAGGAGGAGAAAGGAAGAAAGAGTGTGTGTTTTTCAAAAACAAGCCACACGACAACCACCCAGACTTTAATTGTAAGGTAAGGGATAGCCAGGGACTTTATTCCAAACCCAGTCCTGTTTTCAGCAGGATTTTTGCTCAGATGAGAGTAGGAAAAAAAAATCTAAGAATAATTTATAATCAAGCCTTGCTAGAATATGATAAATGAAAGAAAAATCAGTGCCACCAGTTAAGTACTTATTGTGTGCCAAAGTTATCATCTCTCTTGATCATGCCATAAACCCATTTTCCAGGTGAAGAAACTGAGACTCCAGGGGACTGAGCTGCTCCCCCAAGCAAACATGGCTAGCAAATACAGAGCCTGTGCTCTTCCCATTCATGTGGAATTCTATATCCCAGGTGCTTGAAATTTGGGGTGTGCATAGCTCAGGCTTGGAGAAGGACAGTGAAAATGGAAAAGGTCTGAGCTGGAAAGATGCAGCAGTATAACAGTTCCCGATCCCTAAACTCATAGCCTCCTGACTGGAGCTACTGTGGCTCGGTTGCTCTTGTCTTCTCCCTGGCTCCTCTGCATTTCCTCCTACCTCATTGATCAGTCCTTCCTTTCTTACCTACCCATTTTACCTTAAATGCCAGGGCATCTCAGGGCTCACTGCAAGACTCTATGGCATCTCTCTGGATCTGGGTTCTTCAA